AAAAATTAAAAGTAATATTTGGGGTTTTTTGTTTTTGATTTTTTTGACAGGCCAATTTTTAAGCTAGAGGGCTAAAAATCAATACAGTTCTTGCTTTTTATGATACAAAGCTACACTAAAAATTTCAGGTACCTAGCTCAAACCGTTCTCGAGTTATCGTGATTACAGACAAACAGACACACAGACAGACGCGAAACTTTTTGATCATCACTGGAGTAATAGGCTTCGCTATCGCTCAGCCAATGATGGCCTATCATGTGCTTGATTAGTGGAGGTGGTTATCCGCAGTGGTCCCTGCCGCAGGTACACCTGCGGATAGCCGTCCGCCCCTTCCAAATGTTATTCGCAGATCATCTCGGGCGGATCATCTCTGGAAATCATATTTTCCTCTTGGGTATTGTTGTCATTATTGTTGCATGTAGTCTCTCCTGAAATATTTTAAAGTAATAAGAGAACATATTTAAAGTAGTGACAAATTGGTACAGATAAAGAAATCATAATACAAAATACAAACCTGCAACAGTAACAATAGTTTCATCGCCTCTACGTAGGATAGCTTCCAATTTCTTAATTGCTTTTATTCCAGATATATATTGTGCACCACCGGTATTGGCTTGTAGTGAAGATATCCTGAGGCAGATTTCTTTGGCTTGTAGGTACCTTTCATTATGTGTTTTCGGTGCAGTAACTTCAGACTCCACCTCAACCATGAATCCTGCCCCTGAAGCTTGACCAGCTTGATTTAGTGGTGTTGAGAGAGGCTCTTCAGGTATAAAAGTGGGTTCTCTCCATCTGACAGGCACTAATTCCATATCCAATAGACTGAGGCCTGTAATAAAATATAGTAAAACACAAAATGTTGGATTGCCTTAAAAAAAAAAACAGAAAGTTCTGGACACATTGCTGAGATTGCTTACCAGCCATTCTTCTTGAGCGAAAAATATGCCTACAGTGTTGTAAGCCAAATTTGCTGTTGAATGGGCAAGAGCATGTACCTTCGAAAACAAGTGCTTCTTCTTCAGTGTCATTATTTGACTCTTTCCACTCTTCAACAAGCAAAGTTGCTGGCCAAAGTGCAAATTTTGCCATGATCTCATCCATTTCGGGTTCATCAGGAATGTTGGTAATGTAGGCTCTGGTGGCTTTTTCTCGGAAGTCTTTATACATGCTTTCAAAATTGGAGTTTCTTTCCAGCAGCATAAGAGACCTAATCAGCTCACCTACAGTACCACATTTGGACACCAACAGCTTAATCTTGCCATTGTGTGACTCAACATGATAAGTGTCAGTCACGCCAAGGCTCAGAGATTCATTTCTGACATACAAAATCCAACATTCATCTATGTCCTTCCAGTTCTTGTCAAAATAGGTAACAAAGGCTTCATTAGAAATTTTCTTCAAATTTTCATATTGTTCATCAGATTCAACTTTTGAACCACTCACACTCATCTTCTTCAGAATGTTGAGAGATTCTGTCTTACTTTTCACTTTTTTTTCATTGAGTGAAGTTTTAAAAGTCCTCATGACATGAACATGACATAGGTGGACATTTACATGTGGAAGAACTGTTCGGATGCCTGCAATTTTCTTATAGTCCTTGTCCACAAGGACTGTCTTCATATTTTGGGCAGCCTCAGGATTTAGAGCTTTGAAATGGGTCTAAGTGCTCTGCAATACATCAGATGTCTCTCTTGCTATTAAACAGTACGCCACTGTTCTTCCAATCTTGTTATTGTCAATGCATTTCATCACTACCAAATGCATATTGTTTTTGTTTAGCTGATAAGTAGTATCCATTCCAAAAACCTCCGGGTATTTTTTGAGATCTTCCTTCATTTTAGCCGTTTGAATGTAGATGTAAGCAATTTCTTTTTTGGCAGTCATCAGCATGTGCATGATTTCTCTCAAAAATAGTAGAGTCCTCATTTCTGTAACCTATTATGAATTCAGCACCTTCTGTATTCAGAATTGATTTTAATTCCTTTAGCACATCCTCTGTTTCACTTCTCCTTTCCAAACTTTTCTTCTTTTTCTTCTGCCTAGATTAGCAAAAGAAGAAAGTCTATTGTAACTAGAGCAGCAATATTGAATGCCTGAGCCTATACAAGCCGAAGTATTTAAAGAAAATAGTTGACTTTTATAAAATTAGGAAGTGAGTTTACTCTTATTCACTCTGTATTATGTTATAACTCGCCTGATGTTGGCAAAGTCCCTCGCTGTCATAGCTTTACCAGTATCCTTGCAAAACTGTTCCCTTATGGCCAATGGTTGCCCCCGAATGTCAATTTGCTCTTCAATCTTTTGAAGTTCAACTTCATCAGGCCGCCTATTTTCTGGCAGAAGCGCATTATATCCTTTATTGGTCTTATGATTGTGGTTCAGGTTCAGGCCGTCAATTCTTAGTCTTTGGGGTAGTCCTCTTTCGGCAGTTAACACGTTCCCTGCGGCGTGACCACTATGTGGTCACGCTCCCATGTTAAACCATAGGCACTAAAATTTTGCCGCAGGGAACATGTTAATGTTATGAAAACAGGACAGTTCAACTTTAGAGACCTACGGCAATGGGCATGGGCATCAAAACGCTTACATGTGCAGAACTATAGAAACTAATAAAAACATCCAAAAACTGAATTGATGATTTGCTTGACATACCTTTGATTGGGTCTCCAGTGCTTTCGCTCTTTCGTGACTTGCCTTGTTTGCACTGAAGAGTGAACGTCTTGTACTTGAGGGCCTCATCCCAGGCCTTATGCTTCTCCCAGTCCGCCAGTCTAGAATTCACCAGTCCCACTTTTTTTGACGAACTTACGACAAATACCACATCATTGTGCTTTGCACAATACTCCTCTAGTTTTCCTGCAAATTCTTCATAGGAAAAAAAGGTATCGTGAAGTTTCAGCGACATTGCTGCAGCCGTTACAATTCTACCTAGTCATAACGACATCCGGATGTTTTCAGGACGGTTCTACGTTCGGCGTCTTTTGAAATTTGAGGCGGTATGCGAGAACTGGTGGATGACGTCATAATACTGTAGTTTCACATGGGAGATCTTTGGACATATATATTCACTTTTTTGTTTATTTTCGCTTACATCATATTGATTGAGCAGGCCAAGACTGTGCAACTTAATGCATTTTGTTGTTAAATAAATAATAATGTATGTTTATATGAACTTTGCTGCTACTCTGTGGTATTACCGTCTTTCTCCCAATGTCTCCCTTAAGCCCCCATATTTTGTGCGCAAAGCATCATGGGATATTGCAGAGTGCATTCCGCGAAAGTTTGAAAGAGCAACAGATCTGTTTTATCAAGTAAAACGGGGTACTGTGATCTAAATCTTGTGGCAAAGAAGTTTTGGGAAGAACTGTGTATTTCTAAATGGTCTAAAACTACCCTGAAACTTTTAATTCGTTCATTGAGTGTTAAAGTCGTTGAAGGGACTTGTTCCCGGCGAATAACATTTGCAAGGGAAGTCGGGCTATCCGCAGAGTCAACTGCGGAAGGGCGGGCCTGCTTGTTGATTATTTAAAAATCCAATTTTTGAGCTAGAATGCTCATCTTCGAACTCGACCTGTCTTATTATGACACAAAACGACCCTGAAAATCCCAGGTCGCTAGCTTAATTTTTTTCGAGTTTACGTGCGGACAGATACACAGACACACAGACAGACAGACAAAGATTTTTCCGACCAGACGGAGTAATAGGCTTCGCTAATCGCTCAGCCAATCACGCTTGCATGCTGAAACGTGTTGAATCTTGTCTAACGCACCACGCGACGCGGGCGAGGGCGCGAGCGCAGGTGCGGGGAGAGGGGTCAAGGGTTCGTCGCCAGGTGTCGCCAGGCGCTGCGTCAGACAGGCGAGGCGTAAGGATAGCCAGGTAGTTCATGAATAGAACGGGTGGTTCAGTGGATTAGTTTAGTGGATAACATTAGGTGAGGCACGGATTCAACCAGGTCATGAGGTTACTCTATAAATGAGGACACAAAGGGTCCATGGGTCATAGACGCATAGGTTTATTGGGCGTAGGCCCTCTCTCTCATATCACAGGGTTACAGACACTTTACATACCACAAGGATAACAGAGTATCGCAGTGACGCAGTAGCGACGTGAGGAGCGGAGTGC